GTGGCCAGAGGGAAGAAACGCCAAGAGCCAGGGTTTATAGTTCGTCCATATGGTGCCCTTTGTATGACTTAGGAAAAAGCACCCCTCTGAGCAGAAGCAGCACGGTTAAGTACACAGCTGGGCAGTGGATGGCGCCTTTGGGCTAATGAGGAAAATATGACCCTTCTTCCGGGTGAATACGGCCCTGTCATATTAGGGTGCACAGTTTCGCAAGAGGACCACATGCTACATTTCAGCTTCTGCCTTTCCTGCTAGTCACGGGTCATTGAATAGTGCATAACTTGTTCCACCATTCACAGGAGCCCAGCAAGAGCCCTGAGATCTCCCCCCGCAAAATGTGGTCCTAAGGGTTCGGGTGGGAGTTGGTGGCGAAGCGTAAAGCATGAGACTCCTTAGGAAATGGGGGTCATTCAGGACGGCTCAGTGCAGGATGTAGGATGGAGAAGTGAGAAGAAGAAAAAGGTTTTTGAGGATGAATGTCCCCGACAGCCGGAGAAGCACTGTTCCCTGAAGAAAGTTGGGGGCAATGGGGGCTGGAGCTGCCTGCCTCCTCCTGAAATGCTCAATTGCTTCTTCAAGGGTTCCCTCAAGGACACTTGGAGGTGGCCAGCTCCCTTCGCAGAAAGCAATTAGGACAGAGGAAGGAGGCTGACCTGGCCTCGGGGCAACCATAAACCTAAGGAGGTGACTCAGAAGCCTGAGAACCTGGGGCTGCTGTTCCCGGCTGAGTCCACGCTGAGGGATGGGAAGTTCTGCCCTGTCTACCTTGGGCACACCGCTCCTGGGTTGCCTCCTCCCACAGACTACCCACTCAGGCTCCCACAATCTCTATCCCAGCCAAGTTAGTCCACCTCCTACTTTCAACCTTGCCCTCTGCCCCATCTAGCTGCCACTAAGAAGCCAGAGTGATCTTCCTAAAGCACAAATCTGACCGTGTCAGCTCTTCAAAGGCTCCCTTCACCCCTCTGTGTGACTTTCTCCATAAATGTCCCTCCAGGTCCTGCATGATCTGGTGCCAGCTGACCTCAAAAGGCTTTTCTTCCTCTCACTTTCCTGTCCTGAGCCCTGCAATGAGCCATCCTGAATGGCCCCATTTTCTAAAGGGTCTCTTATGCTTTTGTGCTGTGCACAAGCCATTGCTCCTCCCTGGGCTACCCATTCCCATCTCAATTATCTCCCCCTCTATGAAGCCCTCCCAACCCGCAGACAATTGGCCCTTCACTGTACACAGTCCTTCACTGTCAACAAACACTTCCCATGTGATCTGCTGTCGGCTCCAGCACACATTTAAGTCTCCTTTTTTTGGTTTTGTGTGTGTGTGTGTGTGTGTGTGTGTGTGTGTGTGTGTGTGTGTTTAAGACAAGGAAAGAAAGGCCCAGCAGAGAATGGTCAAGTTGCCACTCGAACTCAGGTCTCCTAACATCAAGGCCACTGCTTATTGTGCCTCCTCAGCTACAGGAGTGAATCCAAGTCAGAATGTGAAAAGAGAGTTAAAAAAAAAACATGAGCTCTGTGCCTAAGAGGAGGAAGCGTCTTGCCTGATTGGGGAGAGGTGGGGAACAGGTAAAGAGGTGGGGAACAGGCAGCCCTGGCTTCATGGAGGAGGTGGCATCTGCCCGAGGTGTTACTAAACATTAGCCAACAGGGCCAGGCATGCTGGAGCAGGGCTGTCCAAGGGAGCAGCCAGGTGTGGGGATCCTGGAGTCGTGCCCTAAGGGGTCTGTTCCCAGCTTGTTCATCTGAAGAAGTGCTGGACCTGGAGGCAAAGTGCTGGCTGAAATCCAAAAACCCTGAGCCTGGGAAGCCCTGCACCCCGCCAGCTATTAGCAAGTGACAGGTAAGCCAGAGAGGGTGGCCAGAAGCTTGGAAGGGTGGCAAGGGTGGAAAGAACAGTTGAGGACCAAGTTCTCTAATCCTTCCAAAGAAGGATCTGGGGAAAGTGGGGTTTTTTTGTTTTTTTTGTTTGTTTGTTTTTTTGAGACGGAATCTCACTCTGTTGCCCAGGCTGGAGTGCAGTGGCATCAACTCGGATCACTGCAACCTCCGCCTCCTGTGTTCAAGTGATCCCCCTGCCTCAGCCTCCTGAGTAGCTGGGATTACAGGCACACACCACCACGCCCAGCTATTTTCTGTATTTGTAGTAGAGACAGGGTTTCACCATGTTGGTCAGGCTAGTCTTGAACTCCTGACCTCGTGATCTGCCAGCCTTAGCCTCCCAAAGTGCTCAGATTACAGGCATGAGCCACCGCACCCAGCCTGGGAAAAGTTCTTAAAGAGACTGAACCAGGAATCTGGGCAGGATTCTTTGATGGCAAGGAACAGGGTCTACTCATGGCAGGTTGAGTAATGGGGAATGGATTAGCTGGGACTTTTGGTTGCAAGTGAACAAAATCCAACTCACACAAGCTTAAGCAAAAAGGGAGGTGTACTGGCTCATGTAATTGGGAAGTTCAGGCATGGCTGGGTCCAGAGACTCAGTTGCATCCTCTCTCCCTCCCTCCTGCTTCTCTCTCTGTGGCACCATTGTCCTTCCAGATGTGCTTCTTCCATGTTCTTTCACCAGCCAGGTGGGTTCCCAGCTCACATTGTCCCAGATTAACAACCTCAGAGAAAAAGAACCAAATCTCCCGGCATCCCTAAATAAGAGTGAAGAGTGTCTTCGCTGCGGTCAATGCTCTGCAATTGGTCAGATCTCAGTCACATCCCTACTTCTTGACCAGAGAACCAGGGAGGCTGGGCTTTTTATTAGAAAGAGAGGCTGGGAAAAGTAGTTAATCAAGCAAAACCACTGGCCACCAACTTTCCTTTTGGGGGCATTTGTTGAAACAATGTGGAGAATCTCATGAAAGTGTAGAGATGGGCACCATAGCCAGTCCTTAGCTAGAACTTGGGAAGCTGTCAGGACCAGAGGTGGCTCCCTCTCAGGGCAGAATGGTTTATTTCATGTGCTGCTGTCTGCACATCCCTTCCCATCTTGATCTGCTCCTCAGTCATTCTGCTCACAGAGAATTTCCACCTGCTCTGAGCTTTACATTGCATATAACTGCAGTCTACTGAGGCTCACCCAGGTCTCTAGGGAGCCAATTGTATTTCATAGCATCCTCAGCTTCTATTCCAATGGTTGACTGCCCAGCCCATTTCCCAATTCCAAATTCCTAAGAAAGAGAAACCTGATTCGCCCAGGTTATCTTTCCAAGCCAATCACACAGATTAAAGGCTGCTGGACAGCATGGGGGTGGCTCACCTTTGTGTCAAGTGCTCACCACCATCCAAGTCACCACTCTATACACTCTTCCTAAGTGACCTCATCCTTCCCTTCCATAAGGCACCTGAGAATAATTGACCCCACTCCTAGAGTTTCAATCATTTATTGCAGTGTAACAAGCTGCCCCAAAACATAGTGCCTGAAATAACAATTTATTGTTTTTGATGATTCTGTGAGTTGTCTGGGCTCAGCTGGAAGGTTTTACTGCTTCATGTTGTGTTGGCTGTTGTTACCCACACAGCTGAACTCCACTGGGAGCTGGGCTAGGGCTGGAACAACCAGGATGGCCTCATGCACATGTCTGCCAATTGTACCTATAGTCACCTGGGCTGTCACTGGCTTCTTACCCTCCAGGTCCTCTCTGTCTCACCATGTGGTCTTACCAGCAGGATACTCCAGACTTCTTTACATAGTAGCCAGCTCCCAAGAGGGCAAAAATGGAATCTGCAAGGCCTCTTAAGACTTAAGCTTGGAAACCACACAGCACCACTTCTACTCCGTTCAGTTGGTCAAATCAAGTCACAAGGCCAGCTCAGAGATCTCTGGACGGGAGAAGTGTCAAAGTCACATCGCCAAAAGACAGGCAGGACGGAAGAGGTTTTTGGGCCATCTCTGGAGACAATCTACTAAGCCTGGAAGTAAGTCTAAACATGTTTGCCCCTAATCCTAACACTTTATTATGATTTCCCCCTTCCCCTCACTCCAGGTTGGGTTGGTTCCTCCCAGGACCTGGTGGAGGTTGGGGAGAATCACTCCATTCTGTAGCCCCCTCACCTCCCCAGTCAGAGGCCTTCCCAGCTAAGCTAGTGTTTCTCCTGCTTCTCCCACCCACCCATGCACACCTCTGAGAGAGGCTACTTGTCTGATTCCTGGCCTGTGCCTTGGAATGGGTGACATTCACATCTGCACCCTGGGACTAGTACAGGGCTCTTCATCAAGAAGGACAGATGCCCTGGAACTCCAGCATGATAGTTCCAAGGCCCCTCTTCTGCCCTCCCTCCATCCAGCCCCTTCATGGCCTATAACTAATCACTCCAGGCTGGGCAGGTGGGGGCCTAGGAATGTGCGCCCCCTGCTGACCACCAAGGGGGCCAGCAAGAATTCGGGTTCAGAGTCCCTGGGAGTCTCTGGCCTGTGACCCCCACCCAGGACAATGGGAGCCTGGTCTCGACATGGACTTCAAGGACCCCCTCCTAGGTAGTGCGGAGGAGCTGTCCGGCTGGGCCCTCCACTGCGCTCCCGCTGGGAGCAGGCCACTGCTGGTGGCCGGAGCTATCCATACCTCACCTCCTGCCCGTCTGCGGGATGGACGGGCTTCGGAGGGAAGGCGACATCGTCAGGATCCTGGGTCCAGGCTCCTAAAGGAAAGATGGGCGGCTAGCTTTTGAAGGGGGAGGCGGTTAGCTTTTCATTTTCTCCTTTGGCGGGGAGAAAATTGTCAGGCCTCTCCTGTCTCCGCGCCCTTCAGAGCCTGCGAAGAACATCATTTTCGCAATCCCAAATCCGCTGCAGCCCACAAACCCAGAGAGCCAGAGAGGTGCCCCACTCACTACGCAACCGGTTTCGGGCATGGGTCGGTCGGGAGAAGGAGAATCCAGCTATCCCTCATACAGTATAGTAGCGGCAGCGGCGGCAGCGACACACCAGCGACCGAGAGGGCGAGTGTGACCCCCTCCGCCGGCGGGCGGGGAGCCCAGCTCACACGCACAGCCTCCCCGCCGCTGCCCGCCCCCTTCCCTCGCTGGGACTCGCCTCCCTCCTGCAGCCCAGTCCAGCCAGCTTCGCGTCTACGCCGCCGCTTGCTCTGGCCCAGCCGGTTCAGAGCCCGAGCATGGAACCTGGGGAACCCCGGGAGCCCCAGGAGCCCCGCGAGCCCGGGCCAGGAGCGGAGACCGCTGCGGCCCCGCTCTGGGAGGAAGCCAAGACTTTCTACGACAACCTCGCACCCAAGAAGAAACCCAAATCGGTAAAAGCAAGGCATGGGTTTGCGGGGGGTGGGGAAGGGTTACTCCGAGAGAGGGGTCATGAGTCTCTTGAGAAGGGACCCGTGGCGCCCTTCTGGGAGGGGACGCAGCTCCTCAGCCCCAGAAAGCGCCCTGCAGCTGGCGCGGGCTCGGGTTTATTTTGGGAGCTCTGCTCTGGTGTATTTTTTCCTGGGACTCGCGTTCCACGCCAGGATCTCCCTCCCCCATGCTGTCATCAGGGCCCAGCTCGAGGCCCGCAGCCCCAGCCCCGCCCCACGCGGGCAATCGGGGAGCGCGGACTGCACTTGTTGGCGAAGCCGGTCGGCAGCGCCTGCAGAAGCGCCCCGGGCGCGGGTAACCAGACTCGGGAACCTTGTTCCTGGCTGTGCGCTCCAGTCTCCGCCATCTGGGCATCGGGCTCCGGACCTTAGGCCCTGCGTTTAAGGTCTGGCTCTGGGCCCTAGGCCCTGGGCTAGGGGCACTGCGCTCCCGGCGTCCTAAGGAAAGGGAGCTGCTCTCACCAGGCACTGGGATCCGCACTCTGCGCTTGGGGGGATCTGGGGGAGATCGGTGCCCTCCGCTGAAGGCTTCCAGCGCTGGACTCTGCCCTCCAGCTCCGATTCTGCTCCCCTCGCAGTGGGTGTTAACATCCCCAGGATCCCGTGGTAGTGTCAGCCGTCTGGGACCTCACACAGAGGAGCCCTCTCCTGTCCCCCACCAAACAAGTTGATGATGCCCTGGTCCGCCTCTGGGCCTTGCTCTCCCCAGCTTCCCAGATCTCAGAGCTTGAGGAGGGGACTGAGGATAGAGGTTGGCCCAGAGCTGTCCTCTGAAGAGCTCCAGCTTGATCTTAAAGCAACCTGCTGCTTCCCTCCAAGGACCCTTCCCCAAGAGGTCCACCCTGTCAGTAATCCTACATTTAGCACCTCCAGGCTCCACTCAACAGTGGGGACTGAGGAATTAACTAAACTGAGTCCCTGCCTCCCGGAGCTCACCACACACTGATGGGGGCTCTGGAGATGAGAGCCTGGGTGAGTTGTCAGGGGAATGGAGTAGTGCCGTCACACTGGGGAAGGCTTCGTAGAAGTGCTATGTATGCTGATCTTAAAGCCTGAGTATGTGGAGTTTCCCAGAGAGAAAAAAAACAAGACAGGCAAAAGTCATGCAGATGTCTCTGAAGCTCAGGATTGTGTTCCTGAGTAAGTACTGAGTGGAGAATGCAGGATTGCTGGGAGAAGAGCAGAAGGGATGTGACAGAGCCCACAGAGGGCCTTGGGGATCTTGTTAAGAAGTCTAGACCTTATTCAGTGGGGTCAGGGATTTCCAAACTAGCTTCCCTAAGTCCCCTATTTCATGGAGTCTGCACACATGTAAATCCAGTGTATTTTCTTTCTTCTTCAAACTAAGTTTTATACAATTTAAAATGTGCAATAAAACCCAATTCACGCTAATGTATTAGGTGGATATTTTAGCAGTTTCAAGGCCACTAGCTTGTGCTGCAGATTTTTTTTAAAGCAAACCTCAGAATAAGGCTTTCCCTGTGATCTGTTTCATAGAGGAGCATCTTGAGATTGTGAGGCCTGTAGTTTAAAACAAAACAAAACAAAAAACCTTTTAGCATTTGCAACTACTTATTGGTCTGAATCAGGACTTTCTCAATACTTCGCAAATACAAACACAGCAACAACTTGGCTGGACGCTGAAGCTTAAGTCTGCGCAGACATCCTAACCTCTAGTTTCAAATTTGTTGTCATGCAAACAACTGTGTTGTTTTCGTTGTTTGACTTTATAATAAATAAATAAACACAATGCATTTGAATCTGTAAAATAAATATACGCCAATTATATATGGTATATCTGGTACCATATGGTATGAGATATATGGTAACTATATATGATAATATCTGGCTTACATATTGAATTCAAAGTTCATTTGAATTCATTTAAATAAAAGGTCAACCTACATTTTTAAAACATATGAATACCATTATGGAGCTATTCCAGGATCTTTCATTAGGGGATTAACTGGGTCCCATTTTTATTTTAGAAAGATCAGTCTGGGATGGATTGGAAAGGGTGAGTCTGGCAACAAGCCCACCGGTGAGAAGGCTGGTGCCTGTCTGAAAAGGAAGCTGGATGAGTGTCAATGTTGTGGCCTGAGTTATGGAGAGGAAGGGGCGGAGATTGGGGACTGGGGTAGTGAATGCATCAGTGCTCGAAATCCACTTCCTCCCCAAGCACCAAGGAACCAGGGAGCTCAGGCTCAGTGGACAGTCATGACCCCTGGGTCAGCCCCGGACTCTCACGATTCTCTGGGAGGAAAGAAGTCCGGAGGCTTCCCAGCTCCTATTCCCTGCAGAAGCCCCTCTTCCTACAGGCTATTCTGGGGACTTTAGGCCTCATGGGCTCCATTGTGGCCTGGGCTGGGCTTATTCTCATTCCCAGGGGCTTGAGTAAAATATTGAACGCCCGATGCCCTGTTGGAAGCCCTCACCTCATGGGGTCAGAACACTTCTTCAACCCAGAGCTCTCCTGCCCCTCTCTCCTTCAGCAGCCCTTCCCTCTCTAAGTCCTACTAGGAATAACAGTTTTTGCCTATGTTTCTATCTTGAGCAGAATTACGTTGGCCTAAATGGGAGCTCCTCAGGCAGGTCAGGCTGGGGTGGGCTGCCTTGCTATTCTTTCATTCCCATCCCCCAGCTGGAGCCCTCAGCCTGACCCTGGAAGGCAGAGAGTGTTGCCAGGACACTGGTTTCCTAGAGCCCAGAGCTCCCAGACTAAGCCTCGGAGTCGCTCTGACCCAATTCACAGTCTGAGATCAAGGCTTCTTTCTGCTCTCTGGAAGAACTGTTCCTCGATGCCCCTGCTAACACATGGCCACCTCTGCGGCCAGGCCCGGGAGGGTGTCTACATCCACAGCTTCTCCCCAGCTCTGGCCAGCCCTTTTCACCTGCTCCTTCAGCTCCACCTGGAGCCTGGACAGGTCATTCATCAATCCCAGCTGGGATCCATATTTCTTACACAGTCACGGCCTCTGGGCCCTTAAACTCTACCTTGTTTGCACTGTGTCACAGCAGTCTAAGTGGGGAAACAGAGTCCTGCCCTTGGGACCTCCATTCTGACCGGAAACAGAGACCTGTCCTTAGAAACCTCAGTTTGAGGACATGCCCTGATCATTTCTCTCAAATCTGGAAAGTGAAGGCTGGGGGAGATGTTTCCAGGGAAGGCGGAAGTAGCAAGGGATGGAGTCTTCTGGGAGCTGTTGAGGAGGGGAATAGCAAGGGGACTGCAGTGTGGAGAGAGGCCAGGCTAGACGCCAGAGACTTGAGACCTCATCTGGCTCTGTCTTGACCTAGAGTAATACTCTGCCCCTCTCTGGGCCTGTTTCCCTATCTGGAAAAGCGAGAAGCAGAGGACTTGTGGAACCAAGGCCACCAAGATGTTTTTCTTGCAACAGCAGGGGTGGGATGGGATGGGGTCTGTCTGGGTAGCTCAGCCAGAGGGGACCCAGGACTTGACAGTCTGGCAGGGACTGTGGGACAGACAGTGAGGAGTGAGACCTTGGCTGGCTGCTAGGCCTGGAGTGGCAAGCTTGGGAACCTGTCTGGAGGGGCTGGGAGGGAAGCTGGCTCTCTGTCCTTGAAAGGGTGATGGCCTTTTCCTGGGGCAGTAAGCCCAGGGGGTGGGGCAAGCTTAGCTCCTGTTCTGAAGGCCTCCAGGCTTCCAGGGTTTATGAGAGTGGGTCTCCCCACTCCACCACCAACCCCACCCTTAGGACGCACAGACACACGGTGGTGGTCAGCAACTGAGAAAGGTATTTGGGTTGAACCTCCAACAGGGAGCACCTGTCCTGCTGCAGCCTTATACCGACCTTGCTGGCCACATACACCGTCTTGGTTGGCGTTAAAAGTCAAATCCAAACTGAAGTCTAACACAGGACCTTAGGGAACTCTTTTGCCTTCCTAAGGTTCTAAAGCTGCATTACCCACTAGCCATATATAGCTGTTTAAGTTCATTTGAATCAAATAAAATCTAAAATTCAGTTCCTCAGTCTCATTAGCCACATTTCAAATTGTTACAGAGGCACATGGACAGCACAGATTATGGAATATTTCCATTATCATAGACAGCGCTCTTCTAAAAGATGGTGTCAGCCTCTGCCTTGGGGGTGGATCATGAGCTCCATGGGGACAAGGATCGTACCTGTATTGTTTTCTGCCATGTCCATCACACAGTGTCTCTCAAATGTAACCACCCAATGTTGTCAACTGATTGGAACCCAGGACTCACCCCAGAAAGAAGCAGTGGGGTTGAGTACATGATCCACAGGCGATCAGGAGAGGCCAGAATATGAGGTGCATTTATGAGCCTTGACCTCAATTTGGGTCCCTCATTTTTAATTTGTAAAGTGAGAATCATGACCCCAGGACTCCGCAGGACACAGAGATGGTGGGATTCTCTGCGTGTCTGTAAGTCCCTTGGGCACTCATATACTGATCCTCCCCAGGGACTATAAAGGGGCCAGCTGCTGTCTGGGGTGCCATGCTCCACTCCCCCATTCTACTGGAAGTGAGTGCTGCAGTCCATTTGGGATACTATAAGAAAGTACCATTGACTGACTGACTTATCAACAACAGATATTTATTTCCCATATAAGTTTCTGGAGGCTGAAAGTTCAAGATCAAAGTGCTGGCAGATTTGATGTCTGATGAGGATCAGCTTTCTTGTCCATAGATGACCACTTCTAGCTGTGTCCTCACATAATGAAAGGGGCAAGGAGGCTCTCTAGGGGCTCTTTTATCATGAAGGCTTCACCCTCATAAACTAATCACCTCCCAACGCCTCTGCCTCTTAATACTATCACCTTAGGGGTTTGGTTTCAGCATATGAGTTTGGGGGTGATGCATATATTTAGATCATAACAGTAGGGAAGAAGTTCTGGAGCCCTCTGGGACCCCTAGAGAAGGCCCTCTGTAAGCTCTCATCTGCTTATTCTTCTGGGCTCATATACACCCACCCCCACATTCCTGGCCTCTGCCAACCTTTGTGAATGCATTGTGTGTATGCAAACCTCTTCATGCCTTCCTTCACCCTGCTCTTCCTTTTTTAAAATTCTTTTATTTTTTTGAGACGGGGTTTCACCATGTTGGTCAGGCTGGTCTCAAACTCCTGACCTTGTGATCTGCCCACTTCGGCCTCCCGAAGTGCTGGGATTACAGGTGTGAGCCAGCATGCCCAGCCCCCCGAACCCCCTTTAAGGCTTTGCTCGCAAGGTCTCCTCTCCATGACAACTTCCTCTGAACCCCTGCCATCAATACTTTGCTTTCATCTCTGTTCTCTAGCTCATGTCCATTTTCCGTGGTTATAAGAGAATACCACAGACTGGTTAATTTATAAAGAGCAGGGTTTTTTGCCTTATGGTTCTGCTGCCAGGAAGTCCAAGAGCATGGCTCCAGGTTCTGGCAAAAATCTTCCCATGGCAGAGAGCATCACATGGTGAGGAAGCACATGTGAGACACAGAGAGAGAGAATGGAGGTCAAACTTATCCTTTCATCAGGAGCCCACTCCCTCCGTAACTGACCCATTCCCATGATCATGGGATTAATCCATTCATGAGAGCAAAGCCCTTGTGACCTAATCACCTCTTCTTAAAGGTCCCACCTCTCAACATTGCTGCCTTATGTCTTAAATTTCCAACACATGAACTTTGGGGGACATATTCAAACCACAACAACTCATTTCCTTCCCTTTTGCATCTGAGTTCCCTGTTTACCTATCTTTCTTCCCTACCAACCTGTGAGTTTTGAGGACAGGAACCAGGTGGTTGCCAGGATCACTGGGCAGAGCTCAGGTGCCTGGCACAAGAACCAGTGAATATTTGACAAATTTGCTTCAACCAAAAGAAATATTCTCTGAGCAACTTCTATATCTCAAGATATCTGAACAAATTAGGATATCTAACAAATTTAGCACTGCAGTGGAGTTTCTATTTCATGTTAAATTTGTCATTGCACATACTGTTTCTTGTTTAAATGTATGAAAGGTTCAGAGGCATTAAAAGTTTACTGAGCACCTCTCTGTGTTAGGCAGAGTACTATACACTAGAGATACAATCTAAACAAGACTCATGGTTCCTGCACACTCAGAACTTAATAACTTAAGTGATTAAATAAGCAACTATAATTTAATGTTTTTTGTTTTTTTTTTTCTGAAATTGAGTCTCACTCTGTCGCCCAAGCTGGAGTGCCGTGGCACAATCTCAGGTCACTGCAACCTCCATCTCCCAGGTTCAAGCAATTCTTCTGCCTCAGCCTTCCTAGTAGTTGGGATTACAGGTGTGTGCCACCACACCCAGCTAATTTTTTGTTTTTTTAGCAGAGATGGGGTTTCACCATGTTGACCAGGCTGGTCTTGAACCTCTGACCTCAGGTGATCTGCCTACCTTGGCCTCCCAAAGTGCTGGGATTACAGGCGTGAGCCACCATGTCCGGCCGATTTAATGTTAAATTTTACTAAAGAGGAAATCCTTAGGAGAGGTATCAAACCAAGACTAAGACTGAGGGAAGCCTTCCTAGAGATGACATCTAGTTTGAGACCTGAAGGTTGAGCACAAGTTAGCTGGAATGAGAGTTAGGGAAAGAGGACACTGGGCAAGGGAACATCATATGCAAAGGCTCAGAGAAAGAGGGGAAAGTACGCCCTGGTGTGAGAAAGGCCAGATGGGGCCAAGCGGGGGATTGGAAGAGTGGAATGGAAAGAGAAGTAGGGGTCTGTTGTGAAGGGCTTTCTGTTCCACACTAGAGGCTGCCGGCCATATTCTGAGAATAGCGTGCACCGCTAAAGAGATGGGCTGTGGTCAGATCTGAAGTTTAGAAAAATCCCCTGACAGCAGCATGGATGGCAGATTAGAGAGAGTGACGGATGACGACAGCCTGAACGAAAGAAGTGGATGGATTCTAGTTGAGTTGACTCATTTCGCTGATTGATTGATGGGGAAGGGAGTTGAGGCTGACTTCCCAGCTTCTGTGTGGATAATGAGTGGAGAGTGGTTCCAAGCCTTGCTATGAGTTACAGGGAGAAGGTGATGGGAGTTCAGCCTTGGGAATGTTAACTTTGATGGCTGTTAGTCAACTGGGACAGTTAGATGGATAGGTGAGTCTGGAGCTCAGGAGACAGATCTGGGCTGGAGATACATTTTTTATATATAATTATCATATTTGTGGACGTCATTTCTTCCTAAGGGCATGTAGCTGTTATTTTATAATGGAAACCATCTGAGATCATCTCCAGCATCCGTCATACTTTGGCCACATACATTGGCTTCATTTTTTTTGTTGCATCCAGATGCCCGACTAGATTGCAAACTCCCAAGGGCATGGCCCTCCCTCCATCAGACTCCTTGCTTCCAGCAAGGGAGCCAGCACCTCTGTCAACCCCCATCTGGGTCCGGCATAGATGGGGTCCTGACCTAAGTCCACCTCTGCCCAAGGCTGGGCCTCTTTAGGGTTACAGATTGCATCTGGATCTTCTCCATGTCCCCACTACCCAGGAAGACTCACACATGCGCACCTGCCTCAGGGGAGGTCTGAGTCACGACCTCTTCTCCCATACCCCTGCAGCCCAAGCCTCAGAATGCAGTCACCATCGCTGTGTCCTCCAGAGCCTTATTTCGCATGGACGAGGAGCAGCGGATCTACACGGAGCAGGGCGTGGAGGAGTATGTGCGCTACCAGCTGGAACATGAGAACGAGCCCTTCAGCCCCGGGCCGGCCTTCCCTTTTGTGAAGGTGAGGGGGCAGTTCCACCACTAGCTCCTATAGTGCCTTTGTGGGTATTAAAGAAAGGCACTCCCATGGGTATTTGAGTCAGGAAAAAGGGCCCCTCTGGGCAGATGTAACCACGTAGGTGCACAGCTTGGCTAGGCGACGGAGCCTTTGTGGAAGAAGAGGCCGCCCCACTCTCTGGACCAATGCAGCACCATGCCTGGTAACCAGCTTGGTGAGTGGAATGCGGGCTGGATTTCAGCCCAGGCTCACTCCTTTAGCGAGGTGCCTCTGAGCGTTAAACAACTTGCAATAAGAGAAGGTGCACGGATCTCATCCCAAGCCTGGCTCCTTCCCTCCCCCCACTGGATCCTTGGCCACCAGCTGCAGGTATCAATCCTTGGAGGTCTCAGCTGGAGGGTGCCCTCTCCCTTCCAGGCTCTGGAGGCAGTGAACAGGCGACTGCGGGAGCTGTACCCCGATAGTGAGGACGTCTTCGACATCGTCCTCATGACCAACAACCACGCTCAAGTGGGTGTCCGCCTCATCAACAGTATCAACCACTATGGTGAGCATGAGCATGAGGATGGGAGTTTCCCCTGGGACACCCCTACCATACCCCCCAGGGATGGGATCACACCTCTGCAGGATAGAGTTGTACTGGCCGGAACCCTAAGCCCAGTGTGTCCTTGTAAATTGGCTCTTTAAACAAACAAGCAAAACCCTGATTCGTAGTGTTGCTAGTTTTAGGGGTGTGAATATTTCCACCAGGACTGATTCCAAGCTATCAGTGGTTGAACAACACAAATGGCTCACAAAATTTCTGAATGTTTAACTGTGGGCTCTTGCAAGCTGGTGCAAGCCAGTTCCAGCATACCCTACTCCCAGTGTGATTAGGTGGGGCACTTACTGCCTCCCTGCCTCAGTTTCTCTAACTGTGATGGGGCTAACAGGCCTCACAAGACTGCTAGGAGAATCCAGTGCAGCTGTCAGAGTGAAAGGGCCTTGTGTCTTAGTCTGAACCCAAGGTTAAAAACAATCGACCCTCCGGCCGGGTGCGATGGCTCACACCTATAATCCCAGCACTTTGGGAGGTCGAGGAGGGAGGATCACAAGGTCAAGACATCGAGACCACCTTGGCCAACATAGTGAAACCCCGTCTCTACTAAAAATATAAAAATTAGCTGGGCTTGGTGGTGTCTGTCTGTAGTCCCAGCTACTCAGGAGGCTGAGGCAGGCAGAGGTTGCAGTGAGTTGAGATCATGCCCCTGCACTACAGCCTGGCGACAGAGCAAGAATCCGTCTCAAATAATAATAATTATAATCCATCCAGAGCTAGCTTAAGCCGAGGAGAATAATTTCTTATTGGGTTACAGGGGTGTCTTTCAGAGGGCAAAATTGGGCCTACAAAGGCCCAAATCCAAGTACTAGAAATGCCTCCCGGCCTCTTCTCTCTTCAGGCCACATGAACCTTTATTTGTGCTTCTCTAGCAAGTTTGCTTCCCCCCGCAACACCGAAATTGGATTTATCTGCTTTCCTTGAATAAAAACCATATTCAAGAAAAGCGGGCCAGGTACAGTGGCTCACTCCTGTAATCTTTGGGAAGCCGAGGTAGGTGGAACACTTAAGGTGAGGAGTTCGAGACCAGCCTGGCCAACATAGTAAAACCCCGTCTCTACTAAAAATACAAAAACTAGCTGAGCATGGTGGTACATGCCTGTAATCCCAGCTACACAGGAGGCTGAGGCACGAGAATCACTTGAACCTGGGAGGCAAAAGTTGCAGTGAGCCGAGATTCCCCCACTGCACTCTGGCCTGATGACAGAGAGAGATTCCATCTCAAACAAAACAAAACAAAGCAAAGTAAAACAACAACAACAACAACAAAAAAAAAAAAAAAAAAAAAAAAAAAAACAGAAAAGTGGAGAAATCTACACTTTGGGGAGACAGAGACAGAAAAATAATAAACCTATATCTATAGGTTTACAAGGCCTGAGTTTTAGCAACCAAGAGAGTATAGTTGGCATTTTAAAATCCTAATTTCAAATTGCTGGGAGCAGGGTTGATATTAAAAATATTTAACCACCTGTGTGACATACGCACTGCATAATCAGGACAGACTCCCCCTATAGCGCTGAAGCAGGGCTCTGAAGGACCCCTGCCATACCAGGCATTACCACCTTCTGTTGTGGACTCTGGGGAGGACAGAGGTCCTGGTTAAGGGGGTGGGAGAGTGACAGGTAACTTAATGGGCTCAGAGCACAGCAGCAGCAGTTTATCAACCAACAAATACTTTACAGTCTGTGCAGTCATGGGGACCAGCAGACTGGCAGCCTAGGTAATCAGATTGGCCCAGCTTGGGTCAGGTGTCTGCTCTTATCCAATGAGCTATGGTCAGGAGGTGGGGGTCACACAGGCATGTAGCACTGTGATTCCTGGACAAGAGGATGTCCCTGTGAGCTGGACAATTGCTCTAGAGAGGTGATCGTCCACATTTCATGGATGAAGGATGTAGGGGCTCAGAGGGGAACACCGGCCTAAAATCACACAGAGACATGCTGTGCTGCCATACTACATCCAGAACTAAGAAGGCATCCACTGGGCACAAAGAGACTGCCCTGAATCCCAGGGTTGACCCTGGCCTTACCTGAGTCCTCTACCTCCTTCCCAGACCTGTTCATCGAGAGGTTCTGCATGACAGGTGGGAACAGCCCCATCTGCTACCTCAAGGCCTATCACACCAATCTCTACTTGTCAGCCGATGCGGAAAAAGTGCGAGAAGCCATCGATGAGGGTAAGTCTAAGTGAGGAGACAGAATATGCGGAGTGCAGCAAAGGGGTCCCTGAGGTGGGAGGCCTGGTCCTAAAGTTCCTAGCAGGTGCTGGGAGTTGCCATGGTAACCAGAAGGCAAAACTGCACAATACTTTCCTTAATTCTTATCATCTGTCCTATAAATTCTGAAAACAAGACCCTACCTGTTCCATCTTCCCACCTCTGGCCCTACTGTGTCATGGATGCTTTTACTTCTCAGCTTCACCCAGCCTTCTGTTTCCATGGAAACCCTCTCTACAGCCCAGAAAGCTACTTTCTTCTATGATTACTCTAAGTCAGAAGGAGTTCTGATTCCTGTAGGACGATAGGCAGCCTCTACCCTGCCCTGGGCCAATGGGGAGGAGGATTTGTATCTAGTCCAGCCTGAGTGGTGGGGTCTGGGAAATGGCCAGCATCTCCAGCAGCTATGCTAGCCAGTGCTTAGTGGAGTTTGGGAGACCCAGATGGAAGTACCGACAAAGAGAATGCTCCTCTATGTGTGTCTTTCGAGGGGCAGTTTTGGGTGGTATCTGTAGTTTCAGTCTTCCCAACAAGGTGCATATACTATTGCATGTGGAAGAAAACAGGTATATGGAGGAGCAAGGACTGAGAGGGCTTCTTAGGCTGAACACTAGTGACAAGTTTTTGTTTTTGTTTTTAATCAACCAGCAATATATTCACTTTTCTCTTCCTCTTTCATGTTGTCTCCTGCCTGGAAGCCTGGCCTCTCTCCCCTGATAACTCGGTCCCCTGAGCCACTTGGGAGCTCCTAGAGGCATTCTTTCACCAGGAACCAGAAGCTGTCACACCCTCTGGTTGGGGCCTTGGCACTGGCATGTCAGGGTGCCTCTGTGTGTTTGTAACTTGACCTCAGGCTAGGGAGCAGGAGATTGGTCCACGGGGAAGCCCTGCTGAGGGTAGGGGTGGCTCTGGGTCATCTTGGCTCCAGCGCTGGCAGAGCTAAGAAGGTGCCTGGCTTGATGCCTCAAGCTAGTGAAGTTGTGAGAGGGTAGCACTGCTCACTCCCAAACACCTAAGCCCAGCCTCTGTGATCCTCAGTTCTCAAAGAGTTGGGCTGAAGTGGTCTTTGGAGAGATGGGGACTAGGGAATGAGCTCAACCAGCTGCCCAGGTCTCCAGCCTCCCAGCACTGGCTCTCTGCCATCTAGTGCAGCTCTAGCCTGGAGCCAGAACCCCTGAGAGACATCCCTGGACCCCTGGAGGAGCCCAGGATTGCAGAGAGTCTGTGCACACAACTAGCCATCACCTGTGATGTCTCCCAGGGCCACCTAGGTTGTTTTTTGGAACCCTGAACAGCCGCCAGTAGGGCATACCTGGGTGCCATTGTGGCTGTAGACTGAGGGTGCCCATACTCACCTCACCCCATTGCAGCCTGTGGTCTCAGTCCCAGAGCTGTGAGGCTGTTAATTTTACAGTGGTCCAGAGAAGGTGAGTGCCTTGCTAGAACCAATGGTGAGGGGGTGACAGAGGCCAAGCCAGAGTTGGGGCTCCTTCCCAGCCCCACTTTAGATCTCCATCAGGGCTGTAAGGCACCCCTGGCAGGAAGACAGTGGCCTGTGGCACTGATGTTTGTCTGGTCCACAGCAGCATGATCTTACTAGGTGTTAAAGCATTGAAATGCCTTCATACTTGTTGGTAAATTGTTCCTGCCCTGAGTCCTGAGTACCCTTCTGCCCCCCGGGACTCCTCCCAGACTTCTCCACAAAGCAATAACCAAAAGGGTAACCTGGCAAGGCAAGGGCCCTCAAGACCTGCTTTGGAACCGCTGCTCCTGCCCTCTTCCTGGCCAGGATCCATGCACTACCGGTTTTTAAATGTTTTAAATATTAGTTTTCATCAGCCTCGCCCTGAGTCCTTTGTGAGGCAGGTGGGGCAAGGATAGCCTAAGATAGCCTTCTGTGGCCCCACTGCCCAGCCTGAAGGCAGACAATGCTTGCCTCTCTGCCCAGGGATCGCAGCTGCCACCATCTTCAGTCCCAGCAGGGACGTGGCTGTGTCCCAGAGTCAACTGCGTGTGGCCTTCGATGGGGACGCGGTGCTCTTCTCAGATGAGTCGGAGCGCATTGTCAAGGCCCACGGTCTGGACCGATTCTTCGAGCATGAGAAGGCCCACGAGAACAAACCTCTGGCTCAGGTGCTCCACATAGACCCAGAACCCCAGAGTGGAACAAGGCAGCTTCCCAGACCTGCCCTTGGCCTATACTCCCAGCCCAGAACCAAACGAACCCCAGGCTCAGCCCAGATTCCAGCCAGTCCCCTTGCCCCTCTCACTTGACCACTGGCCCCCCAATCAATAAGCTTCCGCCTACTTTGATGAGCTTCCATCCCCTCGCTGAATCCCATCCCCCCTTTGAAGCCTCCATTCTCCCTCTAAGCTTCTCTCTAAGCCCACGCCCACTATTTGCAGCTCAAATCCCCATTTCTGAGGTCTCCTTTCCCTCTCTGAAGTCCCCATTCTCTAAGTCCCCACCCTTTCTCTGAAGTCCCTATATGCTCTAAAGGCCTTGTCCTGTCTCTCTGAAGCTGCCATCCTCTCTCTAGAACCCTCACCTCCTCCCAAGATCCCCCACCCTCCTGAAAGAGCACCCACCCTCTTAAGAAGCCTCTGTTTCCCTCACTGGAAACAGGAGGAAAGGAATTGCTGGACTGGGGCACCTCGCTGGGCAGGGAGATCCAGCTGAGTGTGGCGTGTGGGGCAGACCATTTGCTCTGGGACACCTCCTGCCATCCATCCCTTGGCTGGGGCACGGGGACCCTCACTCACCCTCAAACGGCTCAGTGTGTCTAACAACAGACTGTGCCCTAGAGCTCGATAAGAATTCCCTGGAGTTGAGGCTTTTGGGATTCTCCAGTGCTGCTGGGAGCTCCTATTTGAGCTTTTAACAAAAATCTGGGTGCTCAGTAATCTCAGGGTCCCTCTCTCCAGGAGCTCAGCAGGTTCAGCTGTGGCTGCTAAATATTCAGTTCACTTCTGTTCTTCTGAGTTGGCTCTGAAATCCTTGGGAATCCAGGGCAGGAGAGTTTTCCTAATAAGCGGTAGGCAGAGGCCCAGGAGACCACTCCTTATTCCAGGTCACCTACCAAGTAAGAGGTCTCCAAGACCAGGAGCCCACTTTTGTTTATTTCTAGCTGCTTTGGAAATAAGCAGTTCTCCTCATCATCATCTGTTTTTTTTTTATTCTCACATCGTCGGGAAGCTTCATTGTTCTGGGCACTGTAGAGAATAAATTCCTTCCCTGACCCTAGAGATCTCAAACGTGACACCCTGAGCCACCTGGGTGCCAGATGGACATGGTTGATGCTCAACAGTTTCACATTGGTCCATCTTCACCAGCTGTTTACAGCTGGAGTCCACTCTGATTGGAGGGTGCCCATGCCATAGTTACTAAATTTATTTTTTTTGAGACAGAGTCTTGCTGTGTTGCCCAGGCTGGAATGCAGTAGTGCAATCTCAGCTCACTGCAACCTCTACCTCCCAGGTTCAAGCAATTCTTCTACCTTAGCCTCTGGAGTAGCTGGGACCACAGGCACACATCACCACACCTGGCTAATTTTTGTATTTATAATAGAGATGGGGTTTCACCATATTGGCCAGGCTGTTCTGGAACTCCTGACATCATGATCCACCCACCTCGGCCTCCCAAAGTGCTGGGATTACAGGCGTGAGCCGCTGCGCCCGGCCCCACTAAATATTGTCAATAAACTCCCTGTTGATGGGCACCGAAGGCCACACTTACAGAGCTTCAGGACAGACATCTGTATACTTTGATGGGCATGTGGATGGACGATACATATTAACAGTTGCCCTGATAGTTATTCTGACCCAGCCCCAATATACAACAACACAGATCCACTGACTAGAGCCCCACTGGTGCACACGGTAGCTTAAGCAGGCATAGTAGAACTAACTGAAAGATTTAAGGATCCCAAGGTTTTCTACACCAAACAAGACACTAGTGCTTTAGGGAGAGCTGGGAGCAAATGTTCGGGAGGCGGCAGAGCTCACCATGTTCCACTTGCCTTCTCATAGGGCCCCTTAAAGGGCTTTCTGGAGGCACTGGGTAGGTTGCAGAAGAAGTTCTACTCCAAAGGCCTGCGGCTGGAGTGCCCAATTCGTACCTACTTGGTGACAGCACGCAGTGCAGCCAGTTCTGGGGCCCGAGCACTCAAGACCCTGCGCAGCTGGGGCCTGGAAACAGATGAAGCCTTGTTCCTCGCTGGAGCGCCCAAGGGCCCCCTCCTTGAGAAGATCCGCCCACACATCTTCTTTGATGACCAGATGTTCCACGTGGCTGGGGCTCAGGAGATGGGCACCGTGGCTGCCCATGTGCCTTATGGCGTGGCACAGACACCCCGGCGGACTGCACCTGTAAAGCAGGCCCCATCTGCACAGTAGCTGAACCCCCAGCTCCACTGACCCACATTGCTGCAGCCTCCCCGTCATACTTCGACACTCATCTGGTAGATCCCTCTAAAAGTTTCTCACTGTTCCGCCCTTCTGACTGTCTGCCCTCATCCCTGTAAGTGATGTACTTGTAGGATGTTATGCAGACAGGACTGGCATTCTCAACATCCCTCCTCTGGGGCAAATTCTGTACCCTGATCCTGAGCAGGACAGTAAGACTGTGCGGAGTAGCTTGATTTCAGGGGGAAGTTAACGGGTCTGACGGGGGGGTCAGAGAAGCCAGGATTTCTCAAAAGGGGCTTGGGATGAAAACTAGCTCAATGTAGTGTAATGAACACCACTTTGAGAGAGAGTGGATTTGGCTTCTAAGCTCTGTCCTGCCATTAACTGCATGACTTTGAGTGAGTCCCTCCCCTTCATGGGCCCCAGTTTCACTATCTTATCGGTGGTTTTCAAGCTCCCTTTTAGCGAAAGAAGCTTGGTTCTTTAAGATCACCCTCTTAGGCCAGGTGCGATGGCTCACGCCCGTAATCCCAGTACTTTGGGAGGCCAAGGCAGGTGGATCACCTGAGGTTGGGAGTTTGAGACCAGCCTGACCAACATGGAGAAACCCCTTCTCTACTAAAAATACAAAATCAGCCAGGCATGGTGGCGCATGCCTGTGGTCCCAGCTTCTCAGGAGGCTGAGGCAGAGATCTGCTTGAACCCAGGAGGTGGAGCTTGCGATGAGCCAAGATCACACCATTGTACTCCAGCCTAGGCAACTAGAGAGAAACTCCATCTCAAAAAAAAAAAAATCACCCTCTTAGAGGGTATGGCACTTTTGTGCAAATTAAAGAAGAACACTATCTAGGTGAATGAATAACAAAAAGACAGCCCTTCCTCTGGCCTGGCCTGACCCAGACCCATGCTGGGATACACAGCTTAGCAAGATAGAGGCTAGATTTCAGCCCTCACGTGCCCTTCCTTCCGCTCAGAGGCCTTTGTCAAATGGACAAAATGCACAATCGCCCCCAGAAACCCTATCTATAATTTTACACATTTTGAAACCACTAGACAAGATGACCTATCTGCTCCTATGATTCTCTAGCCTGAATGATCATCCCGGCTCAGCCCAGGAAGCAAGGATCGTGAATTTAACCTGCATACAAACTCTCCTCCAGCCAGCAGGGGGCACTGCAGGCTCTTCCGGGGAGGAGCTTTAGTAGTCACCTGCTCAGTGTTTCCTTTGCTCTTGCTTTGAGCCAAAGCTCAGTTGCTCCTGACTGCCAAGACCCTCACTTCCACCACCCTCACTCCCCCAGCTGTTGCATCCTGTTGAGCAAATCTGCTGGTGGAATACGGAGCAGAGCATCAGTGTCCCCAGTTCTAGGGGAAGAAAGCGCAGTGGCTCAAGTAGGCGGTTGCCCAGGCTGAGCCCCAGGATGAGGTGCTGCCTGGGGTAAAGTGGGAAGTGTCAGGAAGTCTGGTGTGAGGCAAAAGGTACTGAGACAGTGATGCTTGGAGAGGAAGAAGCTGACATGTGCACTAACACAATTCTCCAGCTGTGGGATTGTAAGCAGAAGGCCAGTCAGAGCTGCCTTTGAGGTAATGAGCTCTCCATTACTGGATGCTGTGCAAGGACTTCCGGAATGAGGTGACCTCCCCATGAGATGCATCAGTGGATCCTCCACATTTGCAGGAGCCCCTGTGACCCCTTCTTCACCACTTCCAGAGGAGAAGTCTCACCACTTGATGAGTCAGCCTCCTCCTTTGCTGAGCGTCCCCGGCTCTCTCCACAGGGAGGGTAGAAGCACCAATGGCTGGTCCCCAAGAAGACCAAAGGGGTGAGCAGATATTTGTGTGTGAACTGATTGCCAGCCTTCTCGGAGGAATCCTAGTCTTGAGCAAGCACTTTGTAAAGAAAACCAAAGGTATCATGAGAAGGGCAGGAGCCTGGAGGTGTGCTGGCAGGAAATGGGGGAGGAGAGCACTCTGGGGCTTGATCTTTGTCCTTCTGGGGACTCAGCTCAGGGTCTGAGTGAGCACAGGTACTGCGCAGTGTGGGGCAGGGTAAGAGATGCCGGAAGATATCCCAGGAAGGAGAACAAAGTGAGAAGGCAGAGGTGGTTCTCAAAGTGGGCAATGATTTGGGCCAGAAGAGCAGGGCTGGGCTGGCCTTTTGCTGTCATTGTCAGAGGTCTCCATGAGGCTGGTCCCAGGAAGGAAGGGCATGGCTGTGGGGAGTGACTGGGACAGATACCCACAGTGATTGCTTTATCAGGGGACACTGGCATTATTGCCCCTAGAAGGGCACATGATAATGTCTTTGCGTGAGGCCATTTCTGCTGCACAGCCAGGATCCTTCTGGCTATAACAGAGAAGGCCTTGGGGCAGAAGGCCTCGGTTATGTCTGTACTTCCTGAGCTCCAAGCCTAGACAGAGGTGCTGTGAGAGCCAAGAACAACCTCAAGGCAATAAAAAGGAAGTGAAGAAGGGAGCTCAGCCCCTGAGTCACCTTCATTCTTGGCTGAACCGCAGAAAGGCCCTCTCCTTCTCACTCCCAGGGATCAGAATCACCCCCATGGAAGAGCCTCCAAGGCTTACAGAACTAGTGACTGCAAGAAGCCTACAAGGCCAGGCACAGCCCAGGCTCACAGCATGGCAATAGGCTGCCTGACCAGGGTGGACCCGCACACTGGGGGCGGCACCAGATGTCACCTAATTAAGATAAACTGCAGGGATTCTGGGACCTGTCAGGTCTTGCCCCCAGGGCCTATTGATGAACACCACTGATTATTCCGTGTCTCTCAGGAAGCAGGAAAATATGATGCTGGAAGCAGAAAGATAAGGTGCAGAAAAAGCCATGGATTTCACTGGAGCTATCACTAATAGACACAGACAGCCCTGGGCAATGGAGAGACACTAAGAGCCTAAATTCTATTATTGAAATTACAAATGAGCATCTTCTCAGGCCTGGAAAAAAGCTTTCAGTTGCTGGAATAAAAAGCCAGAAATCTGGGGGCAGCCTTAGGCAGCAGTTACATGGGCCTTCTGATTGTCTTCGAGGTGAGGAGGTACCCAGGAAAGAGGAACATTGAGTATTGTGTCACCAGGAAATTAAAAAGCCAGGTGAGCACCAAAATCCCAGGCCCAAGGAGGGAATGCAGCACTGAGGCAGAGGAGCCACAGCTTCTGAAACACTGGTCCCCTTTAGCTGAGGGCACCACTTCCCCAGCAAGCTCTGCAGAACACTGGTCCCAGGAGATGCCTGCCAGCAAAGTCCCAGAGCCAATGGGAGTGCCGCTTAGCAGAGACACAGAAGCCCTGTTACTAAGCACTAATCTTGCTCAGCCAGTTGCAAAACATCCTCCTCTCCTATGTGAGAGCCCAATCAGAGTAGTGGGAATATATCAGAGTATGCCAGAAAAAATAGAAACTAGCAAGAAGTTCAAAGCCAAGATGGATTTGGCATTATAATGATACTCAATTGGTGTGCACCAGTACAGCCAAGCTGATGATTAACATCTTGAAATACCTCCATACCAGTTGGTAAATAATGCTGCACTGAGTCCCCTGAATGTCTCTTCGTGGCCTCAGCTGACCCCTCCACTGTGAGCGCTCCATTTTCCTCTAGGAGGCTGCAGCAGCACTATGGTCAGTTATCTGCTCTGTTTTGCGGTGTCCTGGTCATGCTGGTTTAGAGAGGCAAAGTAACTTGCCCAAAGCCATAGAGCTAGTAAGTGGCAGTGCTGGGACTCAAACTCCTGTCCATCTGATGCTAGGTCCCAGGTTTTCAACCACTTTGTCATACGGCTCAGACATATGCATGGAGATAGCCAGAGAAGCTCCATTCTGCAGTCTTCGCTACAGGAGTTCACTCACCTGACAGTTAACATGTTGATTTCCTGCATGGTGAAATGCTGGAATTCATCTGAGTGGGTGCTTTGATTATAGTTTCCTAAACAGCTAAAAATAATTTAAATTAGAGCCAAACATTTGCAACCCCCTGGAAGCACTTCCAAACAATCCCAAGTTCTGAGGAAGCCAGTGTGGAGACCCCTGTTTTGGGCTAACGTGGGTTTGGCCAAACTCCAGGCCTGTGGGCCACATCTGACCCATCACCTTTTTTTGTAAAGAAACTGATTGGAACACAGCCATGCCCATTTGTTTATATATGTTTATGGCCGATCTTGCACTGCAGCAACAGAGTTGAATTGTTACAACAGAGACTGGAAAGCCAAGAGTATTTGTTATCTAGCCCTTTACAGAAAAACGTGGGCTAAGGCAGACAGCCTAGCAACCACCTCAATGGGCTGAGCCAGGTCACATCTACCTCTGCATCTGTGGGTGGAGGTTGGCTCCACTCCCGAAGAGCGGGGCTCCAGGCCATCTGAAGTTTCCAAGTTCTGACTATTTTCAAGCAACCCAGAGCTCATGGTACTTTGCAGTTTTGTTGATGCACTGATTTGGCTTGAGCGTGCTCTCCCAAGCTGATAAGTAAGAGGGCAGGAGCAGGCCCCGTGGCTGGGGATGAGCCCAGCTGGCTGTCGCCATGCTTTGTCTTCCCAACCCATTTCCTTGTGAGGCCTCTTAGGCAATGATGGGCCTGGTAGGTGGACAGGCATTAGCTAGATATGAGTTTTGGATAGACTGAAGTGCCCAGCATTGACTTCAGTGGCTCCGAGCCAACAAGGTCATCCGTGTACTTTCTGTGAAAGCAAGAACAAGTCCGTCGTGAAGAGGGTCCCATGAGGATTTTAGCCGGTTCAGAAGTTACTGATCAAGTGAGAGAGAAAACTCCTGTCACAGCTGGAATGGCAGTTTCTGATGGCATGAGGACATGTGAGCAGTAAACACAAATACCCTCATAATGGAATTGTGGATCAGGAGAATTCTAGGACCCTGCAAATTTGGAAATTTACCAGGCTTCCAGGATCCACTGGAAGAACGAAGACTGGAAGATGCCCCATCTACAGCCATCATTACTGTCGCTTTTCCATCATGATATTCTTCTCCACCAAGCCCAGACCGGGCCTCAGGATCTTTCACCAACCAGAATTCCAGGCAGCCACTTTCCGTGGGCTGGAGCTGGTGTGAAAGATGAAACCTCTTTTGCCATCCCTATTTGCGTTGGGTTTTGCTATCCACGAGACATGCAAGGCCGTCCCGGAACGCTCACTCTCTGAGGATATGACGCAATTCTGAGGATACCAGAGTCTCCCCTGACTCGGGTAGGACACAGAGTGGGCAAATAGCATCATGTGGCTGGCAGTCTCCCAGGTCATGGGTTTTATCCAGTTTTGAAGCAAAACACAAACCTTCTCCTTCCTGCCAGTAGGTGGCACTGCAGGCTGGCACTCAGCTGCTGGCAGTAG